TTATGGATTCAAGGTTCATGATCTCATGTTTATGGATGATTTCATGATGTTTAGACGTACCTTAGAGTGTAGAAATCGATTAGAAAACTTAGGTACATTGCAAGGGAACTCAAACGGAAAGAAGTGGGAAAAGGTAGAAGGCCTGGCGACTTTGGCGCTCTGAATGGTGTGGTGAGCCAGAGGCAAAACTTCTGAGTCTAGGTTGGGGCGAACTGGCTGGCGTGGTGCCCCAGAGCCCTAACTTCAGACTCTATCTTGGGACGCTCTGAGTGGCGCGGTGCCCTAGACCTATTCCTAGATTTTTGACGAATTTTCTTGCTCGTTTTTCAACTCTAAACCCTCTAGATTCGATTAGTTCTTTTCCCAAACACTTAGATTCGACTACATAACCAAAATATGCAAGAATCTACTCAAAACGACATCTAGTTTCATGAATTTAAATCAAGAACTTCTCAACAACTTCAACAATCAAGAACCCAATAGACACTTCAAAGAAATCCATCAAGAACTCAATTTCTATACTTTCTAGAACATAAATTCGCTGAATTGAATCTTGATTGGCGAGTGGCTGAACTAACCCAATGCTATGTGATCTCACATACCTCATAGGGATCAAATTCACAAGCTTAGCTTCAAGAACGTGACGAATCCTTGCTTCTTCTCCTCCTTTCTCCTCTTTGTTTTCTCTTCTCTCAAAACCCTAACTTAATTTTGCAAAGCGTAAACTGAACCAATTCAGTTTAGACCCCTACTTAATTACCAAAATCGAATTTAATTAATGGGGTAATAACAAGGCCATAATACCCTTCTAAAATCCGGTTTTGACTTTCCTTATCTAGACAGCCCAACTTTGAATGGCCATATCTCCCTCATACCAATTCAAAATCGAGCAAACTCGGCAGTGTTGGAAAGATAATTCAAAGATCTTTTCTACGGTATCTTGTAGCACACCTAACTCATCATGATATAGGAGTTATGGTTATTTTAAGTTGACCCAAAACTCAAGCTTAATATAACTTAAACAAATTTCCAAATTTTTTTCATTCTTTCCAAAAATGACTCTTTATAATTCCAAGTCTTTCTAGTTCTTTCAAATAGCGAGGTGTTACATTTGTGTTGAAGTTTAGGATTTAGAGTTAGTTCCTAGGATTGCAAGAGTTGTAATCTGAATTCATAACTTGAAGTTTAGGAATTAGAGTTAGTTTCTAGGATTGCAAGAGTTGTAATCCAAATCCATAACTTGAAATTTAGGAATTAGAGTTAGTTCCTTAAGTTACGGAGTTTGTAATCTAAGACTGTTGAGGCTCGATAAGTAATTTAGTGAAGTTGGAGTTAAATCTTGTAGGAGTACAGGTTGTGGTTTTTACACCTTTTGAGTTGGGTGTTTTTCACGTAACAACATTGTGTTCATTACTAATTATTGTTACTGTTTCGTTAGAGCACGTTAGCAACTTGTTTCACTTATAGGTGAATCTAGAGTAAATTTCTAGGTAATGTAGAATAACACATCCTTAGTCTTTTACTAAGCACATGCATGTGTAGCACTTGATAACTTCTTCACGTTCTTGCACCAATTGCTCACACTCTTTCTATGTCAAGTGATCACCTAAGACACTAGTAATCGCTAAGAAAATAGTAGGGAACACAAGAGGATTGTAATAAAGAATTATAGTGTAGAGAACTAGATTGATTTTTGCTTCATGATTTTACAAATAGATGTTCCTTCATTCGTACTACTCATTTAGAAGCTAATATACAATTAATAATTGTTACACGAGTCCCTTCATATTTACAAATAAATCCATTCTCTAAAATACTCTACAGACCTAGAATATTCTAAGGATCTTCCATGCAAATCTATGGCATTCTAGGTTCTACCATGGGAATTTCCCACATTTCTTTAGAATATTCCACAAGGACTAGCCTTCTTCATATATAAGCCTTCCACTGGACAATTTTATGCTTCGTGGCGCCTAAATGGCATGATAATGTGGCAGGTCATCACATTATTTTCCTAAAAAAAAATTAAAAAAATTGACCAACCGAACATGAGAAAATAAAAAAAAAACATTTTCCTTCATACTAAACACACTCTTTATTAAATTAGTTTTCCTTTTTTCTTTCAATGTCATTAATTTTCCCTCTTATGATTTTTTTTTTCTAATTCTTCAAATTATTGTGTTTTTGGTCACTCACTCCTAATGACGTGTAATTCAGCAAAAATAAATGTCACATAAATTTAGTTAACGATATAACACATACATTTTAATCAAATAGAAGTGTATGGATATATAAAATAGGGCCGATTTTTTAACTATACAACTTAACAACTATATTTACACCAACATAGCCATACTTTTTTTTCAATTATATAGCAATACTTTTTTTTTTCAAAAGTAGAATTTAAATTTAAAAAAAATAATTCCAAATCAGCCATGCTTATCCCGATTCCCATAAATTTCTCCAATAATTTATTCAAATATACTATATATTATCTCCCATAAATAGAGGTTTCCTACCAAAACAAAACTCCCTTTTCTCTGAGTTATCTTATTCATATTTTTGAATTCATAGTTGTTATAAATGGTTGTATATAATAGATATCATGAACACTTTTGGATTACATGTTGTCACATATCCAGAAATATTGAAAAAAAATGAACTTATTGGATGATATTCTGCTGTTGATTTGATATGGTAAATAAGCCAAATTCTTGGTGAAATTATGGTAAATAGGCACAAATTTATGGTAAAAATAAAGGATCATAATAATGGTGTATATAGTAAAACAAATGTTTGGAGTATACACCAACCTAAAACAATAAATTGAAAAGTATAAGATGTTAGTATATTAGTTTGGACGCTACAATAATTAACACTCAATTACTGTAAAATTGGTTTACTTTGGTTACAACTGGTACAAAACTTGGTATAAATGATGGTATATATAACAACCAAATGTCATAATGATGATGGTATATTATCTTACATATGAACATACGTATATTAAAATGACTGCAGTAATAAATTATTTGGTGTAATTGGTGGTGTAAAAAATTACAAGTTTGACGATCTATGGTATATAATTAGAACTTCATAAACAAAAATATTGTACATATTTTAGTGTATTTTAAGTATGTGAATTGGTGTAAATAATAATATGAAAAATAGTTCCTACATTTATTGAAGTAACCTGATAAAATCATAAATTTTAAAAATTGGTTTAAGGGTATGTAATCTTTGACTTTTTTTTTAAGTTAATTAAATGGGTAAAATATTGGTAAAATACTTTGGTATTTCTTTGACTGTTTTTTTTAAGATCATTAAATGGTTAAAATTTTGGTAAAATACTTAGATATTTCAATAAATGGCTTATGACTACAATCTTGGTTAACACTGAAACCATAAAAAAAAAAACGTTGTTGAAAAAAAAAATTAGTTTGCATATGAAAGAAAAAAACACAAAACGGGATAAACACATTGGTATGTATACCAACCTGCAACTTTGAAAGAAATGCAATCGATCATATACAAGCATTTTGTATAGTTTTTCAATAATTATAAAATCCAATTTATACCTAAATTTATACCAAACTCATACATGTACAAACCAAACTCACACTATAAATTTATCACAAAATTTAACCAAAAAAGCAACCAAATAAATGCATAATCACATAATACAGACAATATCCAACAGCGAACTCAAAATCATAAACGCAACTAAAGTACAATCCAAAATAACAACAGAGATTCAAAACCATAAAACATTCATGAAATTCTGTCTTAAGAAATAACACTTTTTACTCCTTGACCCTCCGACCACCTTGCTTAGAAGCTTCATTTTCACTAACAGATTCAATATCAATTTTCATCTTTCCATATTCCCACGGTAATGCTCCAAATCTCAATCGAAGATTTTCAGCATTTACACCCAACATAGATATGTTCATATCTCCACGGCACATATATTCAACAAAAACACAGGTATACAGACCACAATCCCTACAAATATTACCCAATCAGCATAATTAGTACAATACATAGTATAATCAACCACAAAAAAGACACATTATACTTTTACGTGGAGTCTTTTCCATCGAAAATAGATAATTTTTTTGGTTAGTTGGATTGTGAATCGTTTATGTGAAGAAGATTAAAGGTTAAGAAAAATGAAGAAGAATATGGAAGAGAAACCCTTTTGACTTCCCAAAATATTTTCAAGATTTCTTGAAACTATAACTCCACATTGATAAGTACACTCCTTTCTTGGTAAAAAAATAGCTTTATCAAAAAAGGAATAAACTAATTATGATCCCCAAAAGGTCCACTAAGCCTAAAAAAGGGAAAAAAATAAAAGTAATGAATAGCACGTATTTGAAACTGTTTAGGAGAGAGAATATTTGGTAAATATTAATATCCTAATTATACTCCATATAAAAGGCACGAAATACTAATAGTATGAGAGAGAAAAATCTGTAAAACAAAATTAAAATAAATACAAAAATTAAATGTTTTGTTATGTATGTAATTTAAAAACTTAGTTTGTAATTAAATATAAGTATATTGATATTTTGTTAATAAAAGTCTTAAGTAGTATATTTTTGTAATTTTCTCATAGAACATAGGAATCAAGGCAAAAAATCAAAACAAATACAAAAGGTCCACTATGCTTTCATATGGATGGAATAAATTAAACAAATTACTTATTAAATCAATCATAAACATTACATCACTTATCAATACACAAAAAACAATTTATTTTTTTTGTTTCCACCTTGTGTCAGGAGTTCACGTTGAATCTTGACTAAATCCAGATTGCACACTGCATGGCTCATTTGGGGTGACGCTCCCAACAGAATTTTCTTCATACTCAGGACTTGAACCACAACATCTATCTCTCTATTTTTATACTCCTTGTGCAACTAAATAAAAAGAAACAAACAAAGCTCAACCAAATTCTCACACACACACAAGACTTGGTTTTAAGAATTAATTAATTAATTAACCACATTGCATTTTTTCCTAATTTCTCCATTAGATCCAATCAAAACTCCAATAGCTCCCATTCTCTTCATTGATTGGCTAAATTCAGTGAAGAATTTTCCAGCAATAAGCATCTCATCAACAATATTTTTAGCTCCTTTATTAGTCAAAAGTGCAGCATCTGATTGAAAAAGGCCCTTTTGTTGTTTTAAGACAGAGAAATAATTATTGTCAAAGGTTAAAGAACTCCCAGGATCCATTTCAACAGTTGTTGTGTTGTCTAAAAGGCTTTGACATTTTGTTTTCAAGAAAGTTACATATGTTGAATTTAAGGAAGGATCTGAATCTCCTTTTCCTGTGAAATTGTATAGCCTGTTGCTAAAGAGATTACAATGTCCAACTCCAATTGTATGTCCCCCTGTAAAATCCCAAGAATCTCATGTCATGTTTAACTACGACAAAAACGGCTTTTAGCAGCAATAAATAATATACCTTAACAAAGAGTGTTAAAATCTTAATCAACATTAATTACTTGTCATTGGATTATTATCGTTATAGGCTTTTAGGACATTTACAAAGAGTGTTAATTGCCTCTAAAAATATATATATTTAGCGGCAATTAAGCTATTAACATTAATTAATTGCGTAAAGATCATTTTTGTTGTAGTATACATTGATAGTGTAATGATTCTTTTTTATACTAATAGTATATATTACTAACGCGGTAAAACATGTCACGTACTATTTACTCCCTCGGTTGATTTAATTTACTTGTCTATTATTTTAAAAATAAGTGTTTATTTTTACTTGTCCAACTTGGAAAACCAAATAACGAATGAGAAGACGTGTACTAATAATTAAGGGTTATATAATAAAATTGTCATTTTATTTATTGTTTTTTAAGGAGTGTGTTAAGTCAAACATGGACAGAAGGAATATTAAAGATTACCAATTCAATGCTATCAAAATATATTTTACACGACCAACGATACAAAGAACTTAAACTCTATATTTAAATTTAGAGTTTAACTACAACAACATGTAATTGTACATACTAAGCCTACTTTGGTTGATCAGATAGTATAGAATGATATAACAAGAAGTTAATTAAATACACTTAATGTGTAAAATTTTCTACTATAAGAAAATTACATGTTTGAATTCATATTTAGTATTAATTAAACCAAATAATTAACATAAAGTAGGAGAAGTGGAGAAATTAGAGTACCTGATAAAACCACAAGATCATGAACAGTGAGGCTTTTGTTGGCAAAAGACTGTTTGAGGGAAGTGAAATTGAAAAATGGTGATGGGATTTCAGAGAGTGCTTCTGAAGACTTTGAAATCCTTCCATCTCTTCTTCCAGTTACCACTTCCCACATTGGTTTCTTAAACTGCATTTTTTGTTCATGTCATGAGCTCGTTTAGTACGAGGGATAACAGATAACTAATCTCAAAAATTACTATGGAATATTATAGCATGTTATAGTAGGTAGGTAATCTATTTTATACTAATTACTATGGAATATTATACTTAAAACATTTTTTTTGACGTTGTCAGTGTATAGAAATTAATTAAACTTATATCGAACTACTTACTTGGAAAGAAACGGAGTCTCTAGCCGCTAATGTCAAAATATCAGCACACGATACGACCCCTTGACAAGTGTTTTCTAGTGCAGTCTTTATTTCATCAATCACATCAAAACCTCCAAGGCTTAAATTTGGTATTGCAGCCTTCTCTGCACTGTTGTTTGCTGTGGAGTCTATCAATACTGAACCATCACAACCCTAAAAGAAAATTTGTGTATACGTTAATAATTATTCCATCGAGATGTATAAAATTATGTAACGACAATTGAAAAAAATTAAAATTATGTATGGAGAATACATATGTACCCTAACAAAGCAATCGTGAAAATGCATCCTCAACAACTTAGCAGGCAACGTAGAATTACTAGCAACACGTTTCCAAGTGATGTTTTGAACGATTTGTTCAGCTTGTGGACAACTCGACTTGTAAAATCCTTTTCTTAATTGACCATTGGTATGTCCTATTGCAACAAAAACTAATATAATGAACAACAAAAACTTCAATATTCCTCCTTCCATCTCCTTCACTCTTTCTTGCAAATTTTTTTCTCTACAATTACTCTTAATTAGGCAAATACCTTAATGTTCTCACTTATAATTAAGTAATTAGTGTTTAGCCCTTCTATATAGAGAGAGAGATCTAGTGATTAACTTGACCGAGTACTAATCCAAACACATGAAAACAGCTAAACAACTTTTTAATATATTAATTATCAACTACAACTTGCTTCTTAGTTACTAGTTCAGATTTTAGATACATATTCACTATGGGTTTTATTGCCGCAAAAATATTTAGTGGTGATTGAATTAATGTCACTGCATTCAGAGTCGCTTAAGCCTTTAGTGGTAATTATATAGAGTGTTGGCTATAAATATCTATGATTATTATTGTCACTAAATATAATATAGCGTCAATTATATTATTATCGTAAAATTCTTTATTTGTTATAGTGATTGAGTGCTCGTTTCTTATTTTATTCACATGTTTCAAGTTCTATATATGCATTGTAACAAATCTTTACATAATCAGATAACTTAAAAAAGTAGTTATACTTAAATTTTTATGGACATAAACATTAATAGATAACCTATTAAAAATAGTAACTATGTAATAGCCGATAGGTAGAGATGGATCCCGAATTTAAGTTTTTATAGTTAATGAACTTCTAAGGTTCTTAATTAGCATTATATTTATTGTACTTTTAAAATTATGGTTTCAGACTTACATTTGTTGCAATTTTAATTTTTTTTCCACAAACTTATGTTTCACCTTTAAAAGTATTGATTTCATATGAATCCGACGTTACAAATAAAAGTTGTATTTGTCTTTGTTGACAGGTTAAATTACAGTAATAACGTTAAAAAAAATTACACATATAACTAAATATCTTCTTAAGATAATATATATCTTCTACATTATAGGTGACATCATATTTAATTTTAAAATGCTATCCGCAATGTCCAATAATAACTTTAATCAATAAACATTTCTAGCTTCTCTTGGTTCACATTTTTTCGTTGATCCCTTTTGTTGAGTCCACGTCTGTGGATGGAGGCAAATTTATTTTTTGGTATAACACATAAATATACTTTTTAATGTAGCTTCAGCTAGTATTTATGTACTTCAACTTTGAGTACGTATAAGTAGACACTTTGTATAAAATTAAACAAATAGACACATTCGTCATACGTGACATTCTACATGACAATTTTGTGTCATATATGGTGTCCTACATTACAATTTTGTGTCCTATGTGGTATCTTACATGTATTATGTCACGTAGAACGCGTATGTCTACTTGTTCAATTTTACATAAGTTTAAGTGTCTACTTCTGCACACTCAAAACTAAAGAGCATAAATGTCAGGTGAAGCCAAGTTAAAAGAATCCATATTTATATTATGTCTTATTTCTTTATATGGTTTTGATTTTTCAAACAGTTTTCAGCTCTTAACTATTTTTTGTGATTGAGTTCGATTCATAAATTATTATTGTTATGCTTTCCAATATCACATTTACCCACAAGTATATATTTACCCAATGAAGAAATCTTGTAATTGCGACTTTAACCAAATTGAATTATTTTTGCTTTATGTAACGTAGAAGTTTTGGTTTCGGTTAGAATACTTTAGGCTAATGGAGCAATCAAAGTATTAATTATAATAAAGGTTGTCGAGCCACTAATTACATTGAAAATGAGATTGCCATTTTCTTGAAGAAATTAAAGACCTTAAATTTAGGGATCGTTTGGTGTGATGGATAAAAAAAATCGGGATAAGTTTTAAGTATCCCCTCAATTCTATGTTTCGTTACAAAGTACTTCCTCTGTCCCTAATTACTTATCCACTTTTGAATTGACACACCTATTAAGAAAATAATTAATGACACAGTGAGTTTACCATTTTACCCCTATTAATTATTAAGTGGATGAAAAGTTTTACATTTTTCAAAATAATTAGTCATTTAATTGAGGGTAAAAAGAATTTGTCCTTTCTTGATTTGTCAAAATGGACAAGTAATTAGGGACAACTATAAAAGGAAAAATGGACAAGTAATTAAGGACAGAGGGAGTATGAGATAACTTATGCTGGGATTAATAATTATGACTGGGATAAGTTATCCCTACTTGTGGAATACTAATCCCTGAATAAAAATGTAAAATAACAAAAGTACCCCCTTAAACACTCTTTTATAAACAAACAATTTATTCTTGGAGGAAATTTTTTGTAAATAAATAACTAGTTCGTAGAAATTATGCCATGCATATTTGACAAACCAAACAACTAATAAAAAAATGTATCTCAACATAACTAATCTCGTCATATAACTTATCCCAACATAATTAATCCCAATATAACTTGTTAATGAGACTTTCCTAAGTAAAACACAATGATCAAAGAAGCATTAATGAAATCTCGTAATTAAGTAGTGTGAATTACAAGATCAATTTGTTATGGTTTTGCAGGACATTTGTGATTTAAATTTGATAAAGGAAAATCTTTTTCGCCAGAAAATTTGGTCAGAATGGTATTTTACCTATGTTATTTTATCTTTTTAAATATTTTTACCCTTTTAACTTTAATACATTTTAATTAAACAATGAAAAAAAAGATTAGTTTATTTTAAAATAAAAAAGATATTGTAGATTTTTTAAATTTCTGGCCAAATTTTCTGGCCATTTAGCAGTACCTTTTGATAAAATCAGCCTTGATAGATTTTGACGTTATATTCATTGAACTTCTAAAATTAAGGGTTCAACATTAATATCTATTAAAGTTTTAATATATTTTTTCACAATGTATTTAAATTTTATTTGAAAATTATTAAATTCACTTGAATCATGCCTTAAAGAATTGCATCAGTCATTTTGCATGGATAAGTATCCAATTAATTATGTTTGGTAGAGTAGGTTTAACGATCTTTATGTAACAAATTAAATTTCTAGCAATGATTATGTAATAATATAGATATTTGCATTTTATATGAAAAGATTTGTTAGATCCACCAAGTTAGCTACGATAGTTACGGCTATTCTATTCTACATATTATTTTGTTAAAAAATATCTTTAATTTCACCAATTATGGTTCCATAATCTAATTAGACTCTTAATTAAGTCAAACTTTTCACAAGTTAATACACTCACGCACCAAACAATGCACTCCTCAATTTTGAAATATTAATTAATTAATTAACTTGTATATTACACGAGTAATAGTGGATGTAATAATTATAGAAGTAGATAAAACGTAATTATAACTCTCATTCAGTGGCGGAGCTAGAATTTTTAATAGGGGGCTTCAAAATCTGTAGAACTAAACACACGAACTAACCGATTGAGGTTCTACATCTACTATATATATACATAAAAGTAATTTTAATCATTATAAACAGTACTATTTTCTGTCGAAGAGTGTTTGGATGAACTCCTAACAGAAAGTTGGCACCGCCCTTGCTCCCATTGATCCACTTTAAGTGATGTTTTAGAATTTAGCTCAAAATAAATTACTATTATACAATAATTGTCAATTAAGAAATTGAAGGTTCAAGTTGACAATTCTTTCGGACTATACTCTCTTAACATTAAAAGGAAGTATTCACAATATTTAATAGGAAAAATCAGTCCACCCTTAATTTTATCTCCTCCTTATTTAGAAGTGGGAGTTGGAAAGGACCAACACTGCATTAATATTCTTGTACAACATGCATACAATTTTGTACATTAACTTTTGACTGCATTAATTAGTTGTACAACGTGCAAAAAGAATTGTACATTAATAGAAGGACTAACACCAAGGACTAACATTGCAATTATTATTATTACTCATTACTTAGAAGGACTAATATTGCAATTATTATTATTACTCATTACTCCTTATTAGAATTATTATCTATATCTTTGTTAATGTTTTTCTTTTTCTTATTTTTTCATTAATTATTTTATTTTTTTATTTATTTTGTAGCATGAGATTTTTAAATTTTTTCCAAATAGTTAATTTTGTTGTTTATTAATGTTTTTCTTTTGTTTTAGTTTTGTTCTAAAACTACCAAATGACTTGATATTAGAATCGATTTTTGCACATTATTGTTGTATTATCTAATTATTTCAATTTTAAAATATTATTTATCAACCTTGATCTCATTGGTCATTTCTTCAAATGTGAATATTACTTTATACAAAGGAAACTAATAGTAATTTTGAAGCTCTAAATAATATATGATTTGTATTATTTTTTGTGATGATTTTTTTATTAAAAAATTAGAAAAAGTTAAGTGAATTTTTACTTGAATACTAAGTGTTATTATATCTGCACAATAATCATGTCAAAGTCTTGAACACTTATCTATAATCAAAAGAAAATCAAGCATGTCATGATTTCAATTTGTACATATAATAATTGCTTTTAATTTTCACAAAAATTGAATTTTGATCTATTTTATTTCTACCCAACACACATTAAATTTTGTTATATTTCATAATATATCTTTTAAGTTCTGCAAAGTAACACAAAATCTTAGATATAACTTTAACAAAAAAATTGAGAACATTTCATGGAAAAAAATAATAATCAAATAAATCATATTTGATAAATTTTATGTTATCTTAAATCTCTTGTTGATATGAGCCTTGAAAACATACTTGTAAATAAAGAAAAATCAAGCATTTCATGAAATTTAAAATTATAATTTTTTAAATTCATTTATTAATGTCATGTGCATAACATTTGATTAATAAACCCAAAAAAAAATTGATTTTTGCACATTATTGTTGTATCATCTAATTACTTAAATTTCAAAGGAAACTAATAGTAATTTTGAAGCTCTAAATAACATACAATTTGTATTATTTTTTGTGATAATTTTTTTAATTTTTTTTTACAGAAAAAGCAAGTGAAATGTTTCTTGAATACAAAGTGTTGTATCTGCACAATAATAACACCAAAGTTTTTCTTGCAGGATTGATATAGTGTACCTCTTACCAATGTAAACCTTGAACATCTATATAATCAAAATTTGTGATAACATTGCTGC